TAAGAATTCTTACTATGAGGCTGTATGAGGGGGTTTCATGGATAAACGTGGCGGAAACTAGGATGGTGTCTCATGGGGAGTTCCATTCTAAAACACAACTCGGGGTTAGATCAAGTTCTCAAACAATTAGGACAGGCTCAGGAACATAGGGTAGTTTCATAGGGAATGCGTAGTAATACTGTTCGAGACAGAGCTTAGGGCTGTCCTATTATCTGATGTACATATATACCCAGCGTGAAGGAGTATTCTTCTTCACGCAACGTCTTCTGTTTATACTCATACCTATTGTTCACTTACTTATCTCTTCTCTAAAGAAGACCGCCGTTATTGTACCCTTCTCACCTACTACTTATTTTACCTTTACTTCTTACGTGAACCCTATACCTAACGCTGAATTTACACCTCCTACTCTTAGGAATCAACACCATACTCCACACCTGTAACCTACTTGTACCAAATTCGTACCCTACGGAATACTAATAACACTGCTCCTTGAGAGGGGGAGATGAAGCTGAACGAAACGGGACTACTACTCAGGAGGCTGAAGCGTTATTACAACTTAGTGACACCTGGAAATACGTGGCTGGGTAAGAAGTATAGTGCCTAAGGACAAGTCACTAGTCTGTAGATTCACTAGGAGGATTAACTCCTATAAATACCTGTTAGTAGTAGCTAGAGTTAGCTTTTCTCCTCATATAGTTTATTAAATCGATTTATTCATCACCAACTCGGTTTCCGTCATACCTCCCAATTATTTACTTGGCAGATAAGTGTTCTGTGGTCTGAGCCGGCTGCCAGACCTTGTCGAATCTCGCAAAATGCGTTAACATCATTTCGGACAAAGTAGAGATTGATGGCTGCCCCGGTGTCATGAGTTGGAGCACCATCATGGTTGAGAAGTCGCAGTCCCCGGAAGGCTGTCCATGATAGCAGGGAGTAGCCATCCACACTATCGGTTCGAGATTTTGGGTCCCAGGATGAGTGGTGGATGTTGAAGTCCCCTGCAAGGATATCTGGAGAGCCTGTGCTATTAATTAAATACTTTAGACCTTCCCTGGAGTCAATTGCTCCGATTGGGGCGTTGTAGACGTTCCAGTATGTGAGCGCACGCCTATTCCTGCGCGGAATTACGACTTGAAACAGGTCTCGCGAGTGCAAAGCTGGCTGGAAGGGGGATAACCCTTGCTCTTTGCAGACGTAAGTCATCACTCGTGGCCGAATATTCCAGTTGGAAAGGGGGGAGAAACACTGGAATCTTGGGTGAGTCTTTGTTATTCTACGAGAAGGGTCAGTTGAAACCCAAGGTTCTTGGGTTAGTACCAAATTAGCCCCGCATTTTGAGGCCAGTTCTAGGGCGGCGTCGTGAGCAGAGGCACGTCTGCCAACGTTGATCTGGAAGAAGCAGAGGCATGGGGTTTTCTGCTTTCTTCGGTTCCCGTTTCGGTCCCTCATAATGACTCCTCAAGGAAAATCAGGGGAGCAAACCTAGATGCCGAGCCAATTGTTAGAACAGGAGCTGGAATCGTGGTGTGCGAGGGTTGTGTGGAAGGAGACCCAGCGGGGGGTTACGGAGCGGGTGGGGGAGGGTTAAGAGCCAGCCAGGACTTGTGTCCTTTCTGGCGCATTACCCGCATTCTCTCCTTGTCTGGGCGAACAAATACTCTGTTAGCTCGGAAGGGTCTTGCGTGACATCCTGTGGAAGAGGCCACGTGCGGGCCAGCACAATTAAAACTCTTAATCGGTGTCATACATGGGCCGTTGTGTGAGTCTGACGCACAAAGTCCGCAACGAGCTCTCCTGATGCAGGCATTGATGTTGTGGAATCCATGGCAACACTGATAGACTTGGAAGCGTGGGCAATTGTCAGCCGGTCGAATTTTGGCGGACCAAGCAGATAGGCGGACGCTGGAGGGGAGTTTATCTGCAGCTGGCTTTGCAACTACCAGTCGGAGAGTACCTTCCCATTCTGGGGATGCCAGAGAGTTACGTGTCCAGCTGATAGAAAAAATTGATTTTGTATCAATTTTTGCCGCTGCAAGTTGTTCCCGGATGTCTGCAACAGAGAGGGCTTCGGGAGATCCGGAAGCATTGTACCCATATTTAGGGACTGGGATAAGGAGAAATTTCTCTCGTTTTTCCTGTCTTTCGATAGTCACAACTCCTGTAGCGGGCTGTAGAGCAATGGCTACTTGCATGAGTTCGGGGGCCTGGTCGGATGAGGGGGCCACGAGGGCTATCCCAGAAGGGACCGACCTGATGTCTTTGATTAGTTCCGGTAATCGAGAAAGCTTCTCAGCTTTTTACAGATCAGAAGAGAATCTTGGAATCTCAGAGGGTGGTCGGGCGCTAGGCGTATCATAACTCTAGAGTCCGGCATGTTTTTTTTCTTTGAACTGGTAACCCTGGACGTAGCCTTTGGGGGGGTTACAGGTATGGTCAAGTTCTTCTTTGCAGCATTTGCGTAGGTAGAACTTGCGGGTGGTTCTAGTTGTTGGGCTAGCTGTGCGCTAACTTTTACGTTTGCAGTAGTTTGAGACCGCTCGAAGACAGGATGGCCTGCAATGACTCGTGCTGCACTTCGCGTCACGATAGCTTTAAGGTCCGCAGCGATTGTTGGCGGTAGATCACGTAGATGTTGGGCTCCAGCATTTTGCCAGGCCAACAATGAAGCGGATATGTTATTTGTCATAGCTGCCGAGGGGTGTTCGATAATCCGCGCTGTTGTACGCGCGCTAGATCGCGGGAGAGTTGGGGTAGGTTGTTGCTCAACTGCAACGTTGTCTTTTGTGGACGCGTAAATAGAGCTGGAGATACCCTGAGTAAAATCTCTTCGCAGAGATTTTTTTGGCGGATGCAGTTAGGTAGCTGTTACTGATACAGGAGCCGGCGTTGGAGAGAGGGAAAGGTTTTCAGAGGAAGAGTTGGAAGGACATTCGTTTTCCAATCCGAGGTCCATGAACTCGTCTTCGGAGTCCATGTAGATGGGTTCAGCTGGAGATTGTTGCTTCTCAGCTGCGGCTGCTAGGATAACTTCCTCTTGAACAGTTGGGAGCGGAGGGCGAGGCCTCACACATTTGACTGCGCACGAGACAACTCGAGCAGGGGACACGAGTGTCGTGGGGATTTTACGCCTCCCGGGGAGCATCTTGACATCTTGGGACGATTACAAGTAGGAAAATTGAGTCACGGGATGTATCTTAGCTTGGGGAAAAAACGTGTGTTTGTTGTTGAACGTGCTAGATGAAGTGACTATTGTTGCACTCCTACTGGAGCTTAAGCACGGGTGGGGCCGGGCCGGATCAGGTTAATTACCGTGAAGTAGAGAAAAACCTCGTCCCATCTAATTGATCGGACCACCTCAGACTTCACCTATGTGTTGAATCATACTGTCGAAATATTTCCTATGGATTCTTTGTTTAAGGTAACTCAATAACAATTGTTCCATTCATTCATATCTATCTTCATTTGTGACGGAGCGCCCGGGCCTTAATGACGTTTAACACTCGTCACATGATATATGCTTACACGGCTATTACTAATCATTACCATTTGTTGTTACATCATCATACTCATTATTACCGCCCAAACTCTAGATTCCTTGCTTCATGCACATTCAAATAAAAGTTGTGTCCTATTATTCGACAAGTACCAAGCCTGACCGCCCAGAAACCCGCTGTATACGCAGTAGCTCAAATTCCTCCTCAGCCTCGGCCACCACGCGCCCGAGCCCCTGACAACTTCGCGATTCGTAACTTTTCACTTCCATTCAGTCCCAGCTTTGGCTTATCTCAGCATATCCTCATCTTATTTAGGGGTTGTTAAATCCATTTGTTGTGTTATCGATGTTGCTTACCATGGTACACGCTTTAGGTCGCGTCATAGCATATGCACGTGATTGTGGAACTAAACTGTGGGGTGTTTAGTGTGTAATGCATGTGTGAGTATACTGGACCAAACTAGAACTCGATGGAATAGAGATAATGGAATCAGCGAGAGACTGAGAGAGAACGAGCTGGTCATTTCTCGTAGGAGAGAAATGATATCATAAGAGAATGTTCTAGCATTAGGCTGTGAACAACAGTAAGTCTGGAGCAAGATATAAGGAGGTCTCAACCTCCATCCATTCATTGTAACTAAGTTTCCTTTATACGAGAATTTAGAGTCAAGTCTTACATATCACGAGAACACACGCGACAGCGACTATAGAGACCTACTGTGAGCATAACTTCCCAAAGATTATCCATCGTCCTGCTCCCATATAGCCTAGTTAATATAATACCATTGAAGCTGCACTTCAAAAGTTGTCTACTCAGTAAAATCTAACCCAATGAATCCGGCACCCAGCCTTGCGCATCATCATCTGCTAGCTCAGGCAGGTATTCATATTGCCGTGAGCGTGTAATTAGTGGCCAGCTAAGGTCAGAGCGTAAGTCGATGAGAGGTTTGTTTTAGAGATAAAAATATTCAAGGTATTACTTGCAGACTTGATGGGACTTAGGTCGGAGTCGATCTCGTTTGGAGTGAAAGATTGACATGGTGGAGTATCTTGAATTATTACCTCGTGAGCCAACTACTACGGAATTGCGAAATATGGCTGAAATCGGCCTTGGGAGAAAATTTTGCTCCCAGGTTCACAGTGGACATTGCGGAAATTTGTCCCGTGTTTGTCCTCAATCATAATAGGCTTGAGTAGCCATGTAATTAGAAGTTTATATGGTAAGTTAGATGTTGGATCCTAAAGCGCAGAAGGGACGGGTATGCATAGAAGCCAAGAACTAACACAGGTAGACTCATCTGTACACTGTTTAATTTAAAACATAATTAATGTTTGGCATATGTTAGTGTGCAATGTAGACCGATAACCTTTATCGTCCGGATCGGATAGTTCCGATCTTAATTATTGCGTTCTTTATATCAGTATCTTATTTATTGCTGCACTCGTTTGAATTAATTCAAGTGGAGATTCACATTTCGAGGCTCTTTTTACAACTACATTACAAATGGAATTAGATTTAGACTATGAAATCCCATATAAAGACGGGATTGAATTTTCTGCGCTCGCCCTGCAAGATGAGGACTTTGCGAAATTGTTAGTACTTTCTATTCATCTACCGTGCCTCAGTGCTTGCAATACAAGGGACTGATTTGATTGAAATCAAAGCCTCAAACGGAACGGACAACTTGACTTCAGTAACCAAAATGCTGTAATGCAACTCACCAAGTCTCTCCTAAAACGAGACTTTGGACTTCATCTCTCCCTTCCTCAAGATCGGCTGTGCCCTCCTGTGAGTTACCTGATGTGTTTGCAGATATGAGCCACTCAAATTCTCTAGGTTCCTAACAGAGTAAGCTATATCGTTTGGATCCAAGGCCTCCTTGACTCCAGCAATGACTCTTGCAGAGGTACCAATATCTCCAGCAGACATATAATAGGACTTGATGTTGGCACTGGTGCGAGCTGTATCTATCCCCTGCTAGGCTCTACAATGCGATCTAATTGGCAATTTATTGCGACAGGTAAATCATTTTTGGAAATATTTGAAACAGTGGGTTAATCCAATTACAGAAGTAGATGAAAAGAGCCTTGAATTTGCAAGAGCCAATATTGAGCTAAACAACCTGGAAAGTCGTATCAGACTTGTGAAAACGGATTTAAAAGACCCATTGCTTCCTCTTGATTATCTGGCCTGTGCGAGGTAGAGAATAACACATCTTCTCCCGTAAAAAATTTTAATGTCATGGCAGGATCGACTTTACCATGTGCAATCCTCCATTCTTTGAGTCAACTGAGGACATGTTGAGTTCTGCCAAGGCCAAGAAAAAACCTCCCTTTACCGCATGCACTGGCTCGAAAAGTGAAATGGTGACAGCTGGAGGTGAGGTGGCATTTGTCATGCGAATGATTGATGAAAGTCTGATGCTCAAGAGTCGTGTGCGGTGGTTCACAAGTATGCTAGGCAAAAGATCAAGTCTAGCTGTCATTCAATCAAAGCTTGGGGAGGTTGGAATTGAAAACTTTGCCATTACTGAATTTATCCAGGGCAGCAAAACAAAACGATGGGCAATAGCTTGGAGTTTTGATGACTGGAGGCCAAGTTTCAGTGTAGCTAGAGGTCTACAGAAAGTTCAGAAATCGTCTCTACCATTTCCACCCGAATTTTATTTTTTGGTGAGTAAACCTCTCAGAGCGTACCCCCCTTATTTTCGAGAGTCCACTCAATTTAACCTAGTCAACAAATGATAAATTTACGGTAGGGGAGCGAGTCAACGAGATTTTATCAAAGCTATGTCTTGATTGGCAATGGGATACCCAGATACTAGCTGGCATTGGGTTCAGCGATAAGGATGTTTGGTCGAGAGCCGCTCGAAGACAAAATAAATCATCCGTTATAATTATCTCAAATAGAGACGAGAAGGCTTTTGGTTTCAAGATTCAAGTACAGGAGGCTTCAAAGGAAGAGCTTTGCGCTAGAATGACTATTCGCTGGCTTAAGGGCCATGATAAAATTTTATTCGAGAGCTTCTGTGGTATGATGAAAAGAGAATGTTCAAAGTAATTGATACAATCTAAAGATTTATCCTAAGTGAAAATGTGAAATTGACCCTTTAGTTCATCTAACAGTATAGTATCAAAATATATTAAGAGACAGCTATGTAAGCTTTCCTAGAACGGCAATGTACGGTCTTCTTTTGGGTGACTATTTTCAACACCTGTTAGTGGTGTCCCCTATAAACCTCGAGCTCTCACTGTAGAGTCCACAAAGCCAAGGTTGGGTATTACTTTTATTATCACTTCGATATGGATTCCAAGTCGCTACTGCAGTCTATATCGTCTTTATATCTTAGCATATACCCCTAGTACCCAAAATGGTAAGGATTAATTGGATCAAGTTGCCCTCTAATATCATAGAAAAGGGACATCTAGATGGGTATGCGCACCTCTTTTTTTTAATTCCCATTGTATTCAGCTATTTAGCTATGAAAATTTATGCGTAACTCGCCTGGTTGGGGCCACAGGTTTTTTGAGACTTTTCTCGCGCACGTAGTTTCTATTGCTACTATTTTATGTTTTTGGAAAGTTTCCGCGGAAAAGGTGGCCGAATTCCACAGGTAAATACTGAGATGATTGGCTATTTATCATTGGCAATATATCAAGGATCGTAAGGTAATAAAGGAGGACAGGAGCACTGTACAAGATGTGGCCTGGATCAGAGAGGAGCCCAAAATGCTAGATAGTCTACGACTCAAGTAGTGCAATAAACATACACAAATACATGTCTCTTTTGATTTCAAAGATACTCACTATCTAGGTTTCATTTGCAAATACCAATGTGAGGTACGCTCGTTTGCGCAAAGGAGCCGGCCAACGTCCTGAGTTTCCACCATCGGGAAGTTTCAATGCCTCTGATCATCAAAGCATGCCTTCATCATACACTAAGGCACTGTAGGAAATATGATCGAGTATTGCAGGATTCAAAGCAGCAATTTCTTGTCTCAAGTGGGATAAACGACCATCTTTTTCAAACTCCGCTTGAGAGATGAGCCCGGATAATGTACCACTACGCCGTCCAATATATCACAGCCCATTGCACGGAAAGCAAAAATGTCTCGAGATGTAAGTTTGCGACATTACCACATGAGCTTGTCGCAGCTGGTCAGCGATAGTCGGGGATTTATGACCCTTTCTGAAGACCCGGGGATTTTCCCCACAGAACTGCAGTACAATCAACAGGTCAATCTTTGATCTAAAAATAGAAGCCGGCAATCTTTGACTGCTAATTCTGGAAATATCATTATTGATAATGGTAGCGCCAATTGCCGCTTTGCTCGAGTGTAGAAATCGCCTATACTAGAAGAAGCAAAAAAATAATCACTCAATGAGTTGGAGTTACATTTAAACCAAGCCTGCTAATAACTTTCTATGTATCGTAGAATATGGAACTTTCCAAAATGCATAGCCCTCATATGTGTTAATGAAATTAATTGGACTAAGCCATAAGCACAGGACATGTATAAGTGGTCATTGAACTCTAGTTCGTGCTGGACTCCGAGACTAGCCGTCATTATGAGTGAGTGCTTCACAGTAGATAATTTTGTGGGGTAGAACAGTTCAGCCCAAGGCTAACATGCGATGGGCATATTTCTTAGTACAATGGCTTGTGCTTGTGCGGATATCCAATCTCTGACTACCTCCCCGCCATATCGAAACATGAGTTAGCTCTTTAACACGCTTGACTCTGAAACATGATCGTTCTTCTAGGTTCACAGTGGGGCATAGGTGTCTAACTTGCGCCGACAAAGACTCTGTGGGCCTTGATCTTAGGGACTGTGTGAACACCTGACCGGACATGGATGTTTTGAATTAGAAGTTTCTTGACCCCATATTCCCGGTACATGGGGGTCGCGAATGGTAATCTCCATGAGTTATGTCCTCAAGACCCATCTATTTAAAGATCTCTCTAAAAAACTCTCCATGTTCATATCTTTTTATCCATAAAGTAGCCGAGCGTAAAGAGGGCTTGATACCAGTCAGACAAGAGTGACATCCCAACAGTCAGCTTTTTCTCATACAAGGTGAAGATTGGAAGATATTTACTCTAATTCTTACACCATGCATTAACGTTTAGGCTAGGATGAGAGATTTAGCTACGTGGCCCCTGCATTACGACGGAAAGTCTTTTTTACCGGCTCCAGCAAGGGACAAAAAGGTAGCATGTAACTCCTATGCTTCAAGTTGAGGCTACATTGGGATTAGTCCATTCATGGCGCTCCAGAGTCCAATGGCATTTCGAATGATTTCCCCTTCTCGAAACCTGATGAATGTGTCATCCTTCCGTCCATCTTTTCACTAGAGTAGCACGGGTCCTGAAAAGCTGAATAGCTGGGATCCTCGCTTGATATATTTTGAACCATCCCAACTTATCACGGCTACGACAAAGATATATCGTCTCCTCCTCAGCTTTATGGATCTCACGTTGCATCCTTCAAATAGATCACAGGGGAACCTTGGTAGCTAAAATTTCTATGAGCTTTCAGACCACAAAACTAATATAGTTAGGTCTCTTCGAGTCGGGAACGCCAGCTTTGAAAGTCAATAATCCCAAAATCAGTCATGAAAATGAGGTCATAATTGAAACCATTGAACAAGCCGAACAACAGACTCCGGCTAAATCCCAAAGAAGATCAAGGATTTGGAGGAGAATAAGAACATCATCCCCCGAAAGCTCAATCCCACAAACTCAACGCATGCTTCAGTCACTTGCAAATATTACTCCCGTCTCTCACTTTAAGAATACTTTCACTCATTCTATAAAAATTCTACAGCCTCGGTTTCCCCGTTTTCCCGATCTACCAACAGAAATTCGCCTACTAATATGGGAATATGCCTTTGTTCCTCGAGTCCATGAGCTTCATCCTTGCGCTAAGCTCTACAATGAAAAAATGACCTTTCGATCCAACAGTTCTCGCACTCCTTCTATCTTCCATGTCTGTCGAGAGAGCCGAGAGGTAGCTCTTCAGAAATATAGTTTAATGTCATACGAACCTCGCGCAATTGGATCATCTGGCAAAGGTATCTTACGATTCTATTTCAGCCCAGAATTAGATACTCTATTTTTGAATAGTCTAATGGGACTTTTTATAATATTTATGCTTCTAGAAGACCAAGATGAATATGTTGAAGTTGGAGTCATGAAAGGATGGCAAAATATCGCCTTTGATGCCGAAAGAGTACAACTTATTTCCTTATTAGCTGGGATCGCTGGCCACGCTCCTCAACCAAGACTTAAAGCAGTTTTTCCCTCGCTCAGAGACTTTACTATAGCATTCGACTATTCTACTAGGGGAAAAATACGTTTTAGAACTTCTGTATGGCCTGGAGAAGACGGGACAAGTTTGCAGGATGTTATTCTACTTCGGCCACTCAAGACGGGTCAAGTTCTTGCCAATGACTATGGGAATGAAATGGTTGAGCGACTAAATACACTCCTCAGGCCAATAAGAAATTATCTGGATCATGATTTTAAGGATGAACCAAACAATGTGCCAACAGTAAATCTAGCAAAAGTAAATCGAAAAAATTTTCTGAGAGGTGATGTACGCTATGCTTTTCGGAAGACATGTACTTTTTTTGGTGTTAGGCCTAGAGGACCTTTTCGAAGGTTATAAAACAAGTCATCTTTCTGAGCTCTGTGAACATGAATAATCTTGTGAATAATTAAAGCTTGAGGTATGGATCGCTCGTGCATGGAGTACATTTAGGAATATTTGGTAATCTTGCCTGGCCAAAAATAAGCCCAATAGCAACTAGCAACTTCACAGACACATAAAACATCGGCAAAATTTTGTATTTATGCTCTTAAAACTATCCTTTTCAAACTCAACCCGAACTACAATTATTTTGGTTCATTTCGCCCATCCAACTCAGCATATTCATTTTACATCAGTAATTTATTCAATTATTCATGATTTTATGCTGATCTAACTTTCTTACTGTGAAACGCTCAACGTTTCCCGAGATCACCATTTCGCTTCACTGCTTTTTAGGAACTCCTTCAAAATAACCAGCACTTTTTGCAAAGCAGCCAGCCAAACTCTGAGTTCCTCCACGACCTGGACTTCATCTTTTCCGAGACTTGCATAGAAGTCTTTACGGTACGGGCATGCCATCATTGCAGCCGAGAAAATTGGTTTCACAAATACTGAGTGATGAGGTTGAAGAGTAACTGTATAGGCGCCACGGAAAGATTTAGACAGCTCTTCGGAGCTTTCTGCTAGGTTCTGGGTCAATGCTAGCGCTGTGAAATCCAGTCCTCTGCAGTAATTTTAGAAGGATTTAGGCAAATGGACTTAAAGTCTATGATAGTTGTGAGAGAACATACCTCACGAGCCAGACAAGACCTTCTGTAGCCGTATGGCGTTTCATAGAAAGCTCATCACGAACCAGATCTTGTAGATTTTCTGACTTTGTAGGAGCAGCAGCTTGACGATCACGAACTTTCTACAGATTATTAGTACTCTCAGGAAGGTAACGAGTTAAACCTGGTACCTTAATGTTTCCCAGAATGTCTTTCTTGACTGGCTGGAAAGCCATCGAGCCAAGCACATCTACCGGTTGTTAAATAAGACTAGTCATGCATTTACCTTTAGAGAACTACGTACCAAACAGCCCACTCAACGATTCAGCAGCTTCGAGAAATTCAGTTGTTGAGACTGCATTACCTTGAGCTTCGTTGATCGGGACATCGGTGAATGAACGTTTAAAGGTTTGCAAAAAAGAACCTCCTTCGGGGTAGGCTTTCGCAGCCGCCATAATTGTGGTTTATCTGGAGTGCGAAGAAAAGGGTGTTTGGATAAGGGTTACATGTCCCTCATGCTTAAGGAACATAATAATGAAACATCACTTCACCGCTTAGTGGGGTTTGGGGTACGAGCGTAATTGTGTGGTCATTTGTGCAAGGAATTACTCATTAATCTAGATTCGATTCAACGACACTGTCTGTAAATCAGCCTGAAAATTAAGAAGTAGGATGGTTGGACGATTTGTCATGCTATGTGACCTCTACTAAAAGTACAAAGCAGCCTTGCAGCATATTAAAAGTGGAGGGGATCAATACCTTGATGTGATATACTTGCGTCCGTTCGCCTACGCATACAGCCATGCAGCTAACTGGCTTTATCAAAGAGGTAATGACCCGTCAGTCAATCAGGTTAAAGAAATTTTTTTGTTTATTTGCATGTTAATACGTCTAATTAGCCGGCAAAGACGAATTCTTCACTTTCCAGTTGTGCCGGTGTAACCGCTCAGTATGCTCTGCATATCTGGGATAGCCTTGAAGAATCGCATCCGAATCGAAGTCGAAAGCAAACACATGTCTGGAGGGCAAGACTGAACACCTGTACGCGGTGTCCTCTACGAACCTGGGAGTGAAATATTCTCCCAGAGCCAAGTTCAGTCAAATTTCGCAATATCAAAGAAGTTGGCCCACGAGGCAAAAATACAAATTACTCATCCACTTCGTTATTTCGCTCCCAACGAGTTTGACCCCTATCTTCGTCTCATCGAGTCTACAAGTACGACCAAGTACATCCTCATTCCAATGACCACACCACTCTTCGACCTTCTCTGGCCTCAGCTGGTCACCAAATACACGCCCACGCCGATATTTATACCCGCCGGAGGATGCAAGGCGTGGCGCATAAATCTGGGAGACAGTTCTTTGGGATGGATGTGAGAGGGATCTGGACAAGTTGACAAGATGATGCGGAGGACGGATATAACCTCGAAGAGCATGAGATTCCGAAATTTGGCAAGGAGTTTTTCGAATTGGGCTTTGTGCGCGCCAAGACTTCGCTTGCGAGACTGCAGCTGACACTATAAACACAAGCAAACAATGGAAGGTGTTGTGATTTGCCTCCTGGTGGTGTTCTCCGGTATAATTTGATTGGCCTGGGCACCTACTCCACTTGGGAAGGAGATATCTCATATCATATTTCGCGCGGAGAAAAGTTGATGGATGATGGAGGCATGTCTGGATAACTCAGGGTTTTTGAGACGTTCCCCTGGGTGGGTATTCACGGATGAGGGTTGACTTGGGGTGAAGAAAAAGCCGCCATAACTTCGCAGTGGTACTTGCCAATGAAATCTGAGGCATGAGTGCTCTACTTTTAAATTGAATCATCTATTCTATACTTTTCTTTGATATTGTGTCATAGCTAGATAGCTGCATACGCAATTAAAATCTGATGCAAAAAAAAAAAAAAAAACACATGTCTATCTCCATTTGACGACTTCTCAACCATGCAGCACTCATCATTATCTTCTGAGTCCTCAACCCCGATCTAACCACATATCACTTCGCCTCGACGACCGCTAAAGCATCACCCCAATTGCAAACAGGAGCTTGCCTCATTCATTACCGGACATCACTCTCTACATATTTACGACGCAATTTATACCCGCAAGGAGGAAATCAAGTCGAAAAATACAAAGTTGGGGTCTTGGTTTATGAGGGACTGCTGCTCTAATGGGCTTATACATCTTGAAGAAGGACAGGCGGCTGAGATGTGGTTCGAAAGGAGGAGGAGGTCTCTGAAGACTATGCTGGGACTGTCATTTTCGAGGAGTTTTCAACTTTGGAGTCTTTGTAGGCACCAAGACCAAGATTTCGGCTAAATAGCAAGGAGGGTTTCTTTTGTCGATGAGTCAACGGCACTCCCCAGCGCTCTGGACAGCTTAAAAGAAGTTGGGCTAGGCTACTATACAGCAATCACGCTCTGTCAAGACTTTTCTGACATTTCAGCACGACCTTCGGGAAGGAGTTGGAAGGAGGCTAGAAAGGCAGAGGGTGAATTTCCCGAGGTACCCACAAGTCTGCAGCGCCCAGCTGGTCGGCCTCTTCGAACGCTTCAGAAGGGGCAATATGTCTTTGGATTTAGTCCTAATATTGGTATTAGGAGAGCCCCACACCCAGTAGTTTTTGCGATTTTTCCCGGCTGCCATACACCCGCAAATGGCCATCGTTTCGTTGGCTGGAGAGGGGAGATAATGAAGAACAGAGGGCCCCTCTGAGTGTATGATCGAACGAGGACTTGTGAGGAGTGGTACTGTTTGAGGGAAGCTATATGGGAGGCATAGGAGGTGTATACTACTGGCATAGGTACTCATGGCCTGTAGGCAGAGAGGATCTGCATGTCCTACATAGTCATAGACTCAGATAGGACAATAAAATGAATTAATACGTCTAATTAGAGTTAACCTTAGCCCTTTGCTCTATGCACCCAACCGGGTAAAGGACGCCAGAGCTTACAGCTCTAGTTGCCTGGGACGCCCGTATTCCCAAACATAAGAAATGAGACTTATGTAACCAATCTACGTGTCTGTGAGGGGAAAACCCAATATAAATCCATAGATCACAGTTATTCATGAATCTACCAAAGGGAAACTTAGCAAGAAGTTTGTAGTCACGTGTGCCCGAACAACGTGGCCTGCGTGGTTGTCCAAATTGTTATTCCTTCTAACAAACTACAATGTTTATATATGAGGAATCATGCAAAGGATTACACCTCGATCCTTCCAGCTTTGTTCCCCATGAATAACTCGATTAGTCGTTGGAAAATACACTTTCAATAATCCTAGGGAGTAAACGACGTTCTTTATTACCTGATGTGGTCCCGGTGTCTAGGCCTCGCCTAGCCGGGGCAGCAGGTTTTTTGAGACTTTTTTCCCCGCGCACGCAGTTTCCATTGCTACCATTTTATTATTTTTTTGGGACGAAGGTTCCGTGGAAAAGGTGGCCGAGTTGCACGGGTAAACACTAAGCTGAATAGCTATTCATCACGGGCAATATATCAATGATCTTACAAGGAAGATAAGAGGCAATGAGCACTGTACAAGGTGTGGCCTGGGCCAGAGAGGAGCCCAATGTGCTAGATAGTTAGAAACGCAAGTCTTACAATATAAGCGCATCTCTCTCTCTCTTTTCGTGGGTCAACAAAATAACTATTCTCTAATGTTCCGTCGACGGCTGGATACGGTGGATAGCAAAAATGGCTCCACTAAACTGTAAGAAATGACCTGGATAGAGAAGCATAGAATAGGCTTTGTACTGGTGATAAATGAGAACTTGAACTCTTTTTTCTTCATTTTATTGTCCTATCTGAGTCTATGACTATGTAGGACATGCAGATCCTCTCTGCCTACAGGCCATGAGTACCTATGCCAGTAGTATACACCTCCTATGCCTCCCATATAGCTTCCCTCAAACAGTACCACTCCTCACAAGTCCTCGTTCGATCATACACTCAGAGGGGCCCTCTGTTCTTCATTATCTCCCCTCTCCAGCCAACGAAACGATGGCCATTTGCGGGTGTATGGCAGCCGGGAAAAATCGCAAAAACTACTGGGTGTGGGGCTCTCCTAATACCAATATTAGGACTAAATCCAAAGACATATTGCCCCTTCTGAAGCGTTCGAAGAGGCCGACCAGCTGGGCGCTGCAGACTTGTGGGTACCTCGGGAAATTCACCCTCTGCCTTTCTAGCCTCCTTCCAACTCCTTCCCGAAGGTCGTGCTGAAATGTCAGAAAAGTCTTGACAGAGCGTGATTGCTGTATAGTAGCCTAGCCCAACTTCTTTTAAGCTGTCCAGAGCGCTGGGGAGTGCCGTTGACTCATCGACAAAAGAAACCCTCCTTGCTATTTAGCCGAAATCTTGGTCTTGGTGCCTACAAAGACTCCAAAGTTGAAAACTCCTCGAAAATGACAGTCCCAGCATAGTCTTCAGAGACCTCCTCCTCCTTTCGAACCACATCTCAGCCGCCTGTCCTTCTTCAAGATGTATAAGCCCATTAGAGCAGCAGTCCCTCATAAACCAAGACCCCAACTTTATATTTTATGACTTAATTTCCTCCTTGCGGGTATACGTAACGTCGTAAATTTATAGTGAGCGATAGCTTATAATTAATGGGGCAAGCTCCTGTCTGTAATTGGAGCAACTTCTTTATTGGTCGTGAGGCGAGATGATGCGTGGTTAGAAAGAGGTTGAGGACTCGGAGGATAATGGTAAGTGCTGCATGGTTAAGAAGTTTTCAAATGGAGATATGCATATGCTTGCTTTCGGCTTCGATTCTTCTTGGCTGACCCAGATTTGCAGAGCATACTGAGCTATTACACCTGCACCACTGGAAGATTAAGATTTCGTCTTTGTTGGCACAGAACCTTCTATCGTTAGCTAGTGTTCATAATGTTAACTACTCTTCTGTAATGAAGGGCTTGACACTCTTAATGCTGTTTAATTAGAAAAATTCCGTTCCACAATTCCAAACCTTGCACCCATTGAAGTTAAAACGATTCTTAGCATTATCTTGCAGACTTATCCTAATGTCTTTTATATCAATCCTAGTGAGTTATCTCCCAAACTTGTGCGACAAGCTATTTGTACTCCACAGGTTTTCCTATTGGTATGGACGTCTAACTGGTGGATAAGTGACGCCAAGGAATAAGTCTATAAGAGGTGTGGTAATTAAACTGAAAACACACTTACTCATCCTCGTAAATTTGACAATGCAATGATGGGAATTGATATCTTTGGGAGTGAGATATTGATTTGGTTGAGAGTCTTGAATCGTTGTCTCATGAGTCATAATCCCCGGTATTGCAAAATTTGACAGAGCTAAACTGTGGGAGAATTTATCACTCCCTGGTTTGTAGCCGAAGCTGCTTGCATATGTCCAATCTTTGTGCTTCGTAGTTAATGTTCAGCAGGCAAAGGGGATCTCTTTATTTAAATTATTTAGTGTGTATTTAGCAGTTTACCTATGACAGATGGCGGATGATCGGTGCTATCTTTTTATTTTGGATTACTTTTTTGATGTTGAAGACATTCTTATTCTGGATATCATTTGCAGATACCACTATGAGGTATGTTCTCTTACACGAACAGTCGACCCTTACCTGTGATTACCCATCAAGGTGACGTTACAACACCTTTGATTATCCAAGCATGCCTTCGTCATCCATACATACAAGCGCCGCGAGAAATGTGGTTGTATTTTGCCAGACTCGAACCACTCATCTTATGTCTAAAGTGAGATATTTGTCCAAGCTATCTAGGGTCTACTTGGGAGACAATCAAAGAGTACCTGTAAAGGCCGTACAATCACAGTCTGGGGTAAGTGGGAATACTAGCGAAAGAATTAGCCGAATTAGTTTCATGTCCCACCGAGGCATTTAGCACGCCTTTTATCGGAATCGCAACCTATGCAGTTCTGCCCGCATGTTGAGAAGAAACCAACAAAGGTACCAAATTTGTGTACTACTTGACGTACATATCTTTTCGAATAACCAGTACTCATCCCGCAATCATAATACGAATCCTATACAAAACTTTTATAACCCTCGATCCTCACGGCACCTCCGATTAAAAGATTATGGCTGATAAAAGTATTAGCTCAGTAACTGATAGAACAATATCCGACCTCAGAGAGTCACTTATAAGCGAGACTGAACCGCTTGCTGTCCGTTTTAGAGCCCTTTTTTCTCTCAAACACGTAGCAATTAGGAATGATTCGCCATCAGCCGTAAAGGCGATCGCTGATGCATTCTCTTCAAAATCCGCCCTACTTAAACACGAAGTTGCCTACTGTCTTGGTCAAACCAAGAATACGGCGGCAATACCATATCTTTGTGCCGTATTAGAAAATAAGGATGAGGACCCCATGTGCAGACACGAAGCAGCAGAAGCAATGGGTGCTATTGGAGACATTCGATGTCTGGATATTCTAAAGCAGTATAGAGACGATGAAAGTGAGGCCACAGTAGTCAAAGAAACTTGCGAGGTAGCAATCGACCGGATCACATGGGAGAACGGAGTTGAACTTAAGGAAGATCTACACTCAAGGTATGTAAAAAATTATCACCGAAAAAATTAACTAACGAGACCAGTGACTTCAAATCTATAGATCCGGCACCACCAACAGATGGAAGCCGATCTGTGGAAGAACTTGAAAGGGTGTTGCTCAACCAGAAGCTACCTCTATTCCTCAGATATAGAGCAATGTTTAGCCTCAGAGACATGGCCTCCCCACCTACCCTCACCACAGCAGTCCCTTCAGTGCTCGCCCTCGCCAAAGGGTTCACGGACCCATCAGCTCTCTTTCGCCACGAGATAGCGTTCGTGTTTGGTCAATTGGCTCACCCGGCGTCAATTCCAGCTCTAACTTACACTCTAAGTGACTTGGACGAAGCTAGTATGGTTAGGCACGAGGCAGCCGAGGCGTTGGGTGCGTTGGGCGAAGAAAAAGGCGTTATAGAGACCCTAAAGAGCTTTTTGAATGACAAGGAACAGGTTGTACGAGAAAGCGTTGTCGTAGCTCTAGATATGGCAGACCACGAGATGAGTGGCGAGATTGAATATGCTCTAATACCTGAAATACCCGCGTAGAATCTTTCCATACAGCTAATTTAGAAGAAAAAAATACCTCAGTAAATAACAAGAGCGACGGAGACTTGCCACTGTCTCAGTTAGGTCAGCTTGTAAATGAACTCGATATTGTGAATCTTCGAAGTCTGTAGGGGGCCAAGTTTACTTTAAATTAAAAGCTGATTTCAGATTCCAAAAATTAACATCAGAATTGTCTCACGTTTAACTGTTCGAATCAATATGAGACGTGATTAGATGACATAATTGAATCTAATTCTCTTTTATAACAAGGTGTGCCCATGTCTAGTTAGACTGTAGAACTTCTGCAGATAGCCTTCCTGATACGTAACCCAAGGAAATAAATCAGCAATTTTAATTTGTTTACCATTACTTTTAACAGCCTCGTATAAGTTCGGCCCACAAGTGGTGATAGTGAAGCAACCTGTAAAAATATTTGGCTGATTTATCAGCCCTACAATGGCAGCGAACAACTCGCACATAGCAAGGCAAACGTACTACAGTTACAGTGTTGTCGCTGGCCATAAATTCGGTAAGGATGCAAAGAGCTATTAATTGATCAACTCTACCCCTGATTCGAGAGGTCTATTGAAGTCTTTGGTACATTCATTTATTCCATGTCAACCCCAAGTTTCACAAATGTCTACGATCAGGCACGTTATCAACGGGTCTCCGAAGTTTACTAAAGACCTTTGTCATTCCAATGGAGATAGGGATGGCTATCACAAATCTACTATCCCTACAGTCGAAGAAGCCATTCCATATTCACCATTTTCGTCTATCGTTCCATTCGATTCTGGTGAGAAAGCTCTTCCCCCTTTGGAAAGAATTCAAAATTACCATTACTAAATTGGATGAAATAGACCTATTACCTATGCCATCAGTTGGCCTCCGATCTTCAGTTTCTATATTTAATGAGTCTACTGAACTAATTAGTACAAGAAATGGACTTGAATTTCTCAACAGGGAGGCAGTTGATCCAAAAAAAACATCAGAAATATTATTCAGGAGTCTCCATCAACTCAAGGAACTTCTTCACCCAGCGGGCATAACAAGATAGTATGTCTTTACTAAAAACTTCTTTTCATCTGACTAACTTAATGAAGTAAATTCAAATCGAAACCGAGATACAATTTTGACTCAAAAGATGTCGAAGAGCCACTCATTTCTCTTTCACCTTTTTCACAGATGATTTTAGATAATACTTTTATAGGCTTCTCTAACTCAACATCTATCACTTGTAATAATTCAAAAAGTAATTCTGGATTGAAACCGAAACCCTCACCAGCAAAAGCAGCATCGCAACAGCCATACTGTACTGCTGCCCGGAATCATCAACAGAACTTATCGCCCATTAATTTTCATTACCGGCCTCCTCAGAAAGCTTTATCCAGTACATTACCAACAACGTCACAGGAATTCTGTCGCAAAATTTCGAATCCCAAAACTTGTGAATCATCAGAATTTTCAGATCAAAAGAAGGAGCTGGTGACTGACCACAAAAAGAAGAAAAACTATGTTGCCGCAATTAACACTCAGAAAAAAGCCAATTTAAATAAGATAAAACTTGATAATTCTCCTGTCACAAATTCCGATGTGACTGCGTCTCCTCTAGTTTTAATTCCACTTAAAACATCTAAAGTGTTAGGGTCTGAAAATCTTGAATCTGTTGCTTCAGAGAAACAAAATATTAAACGTGAACCATCCACGGCACAATTACATCAGCAGAAAGCCGAAAGAAACACGGGAAATTCCGACACTTTAGCAACCGGTTGTGATGAAAGGAAGAAAGCTGACAATGCGCTTCACATACTTCAAGAATTTCTCCAAGATATATTTGAGGAAGAGGACCAATTTGAACCGTCAACACCGAGTCAGCTTTTAGCAACTAATTTAGACGGCGGTGTGGGTATCTGCATTAACGCACACATGAAATTAGACCGGCTACTACAAGCTGTTATTCAGCTCGGTAGATTTTCTCAGGTGCAACTGGACGATCTTATCAGGATACAAAGGCTTTGTGAAGGCCCTCTTAGATATGCAGAGTCTATAGATGTAAGCATTGATGAGAGGATGAAAGAAAGAGATTTAAGAACCTGGTCATTGCGACTTTCTAGCGCAGAGCTTGGGCTCAGATCCGCTCGCACAGCACTCCGCCTTATGGCTGGAGGTAGAGAAGAAATGCAGTTATACTCTGTGGATATAATTCAATCTTCACTCAAAACTCTACAGAATATTGTCGAGAGGTGTATAGTCCCAATAGTCGAAATGCGAAATATGGGGAATACAGTTTTATATAAACAGCTTATAGCTGATAAAATTCACTTACTGGGCTTGCTAAAGCAATCCCAAAGGTTACTATTCCTAACGGCTACATTGGTCACCGAAATGGATCTATCTGATGGTGTACTAAATGCGCTGGAGTACTTTGTTTCTAAGCTATTTTTTGTCGAAAACGCGTCTACAGAGAAAGAGTCTTTTCTTGGGATTTACAAATTCGATGGATTACGCACCGCTGCTATGGAGGTTCTTTCGAGAATTTTTGCTAGCAAGCCAGCGCAACGTCGCGGGATATTTACAGAGTTCCTAACTTCTCTTGAGAAACTACCAGTCTCCAAGCAAAATGCTCGTCAATTCAAACTCGCCGATGTTGGAAATATCCAACATGCTTCTGTATTAATCATGCGATTAATACAGATTAGTGCTACTAAACCCAACGATAATAAAGAAATGCGGCGTGCACGGGCTCTAAGAGAGATACTTCAAAACACAGCTCCAGATTCGAAAGAAGTGCGAGAAAAAGGAACTAAAACTATTATCAACTCGGAGACAAAGGGTGGACAAGAACCAGATGCTGCTAAAGAAGAACTTGGAACCGTTGTTAATCCTTTGATGAAAGCTGCTAAATCTGATGCTACATATGTAATTGAGTTTATTGTGGCTCGAGCTACCAATTCTACTAAAGGCAACGATTCTCCGTTCCGTCATCTGCTCGATCTCTTTGTTCAAGACTTTATCAGTTGTATAGGTTTACCAGACTGGCCAGCAGCAGAACTCCTTCTTCGGCTGCTGCTATTTAAGATGATAGAGATATCTAAATCTACAAAATCCTCATCTCTAGCCAGAAATATTGCTTTAGATATGCTTAGTCAAATGGGGCCAAAAATATCCGAGCTCCATTTTCAGGCGCAGAAAATGGCCAGATCTGTTGAATATAGTCAGAGCGAACTTAGCAATCATTTGTCTAGAATAGTGGATCAATTTTTTGAAAGGGCAACAGAGTCAAATAAACAAATATTTAAATCAAATCTTCTGTCATGGGATAGTGGCCCATTCCGTACTTGTATAGAATTCCTTGAGTCCCGCTCTACCGATGATTCGAGCTTGAACGCTGCTATAGCTTACATGAAGGTCGACTGGGCAACAAAGCTCTTAGAATGCTTCGATTACATCGGGGAAATGGATGGAAATTATAAAGAATTTGGGAGATTAGCCTTTAGACTGCGAGAAATGATCGATGATTCTCAGTCGCTTAGCACGGATTATAGCTTCAATAATAAAGTCACTTCAACCGAAATTCGCCTTGCTCATACATTAGTTTTATTAGGATCACCATTCTGCCAGTATCTGGATCATATACTAAGTATTTTTCTCTCCTCAATGAACAGCGGCCAAGCCATGGTCCAGGCTAAAAGCCTCAAATGTCTGACTCAATTACTTGATACAGATCCAGGCACCATTGATCGACATCCATGGGTAAAAGATCAGATGGTAGCCCGTTTAGAAGATGTGTCTAGCTCAGTTCGCGAAAATGCACTCGGCTTAATTTCAAAGCTAATATCCTTACGGCCTTCACTTGAATCAGATATGGTTCCTGAAATATTGAAACGTCTTAATGATGCCAATGTGAGCGTCCGCAAACGTGCCATCAAATTAGTAAAGGAGGTTTACATGCGTAACTATAACTTTGCTATTCGGGTCAGAATTGCAAAAACTATTCTTTGGAAAACAGGTGACGACGAGCCAGCGATTCAGGAACTAGTTCGTCAGACTATCGAGGAAATATGGTTTTCCCCCCTTTATTATTCTTCAGTCACCCAAGAAATTTCTCCGCAACATAGACTAGATCGAGCAGAACTAGTTTCCCTGATGGTCGAGACAATTGAAACTCCTGAAAGGGTGATGGACAAATTATTGGCAGATAAATTGGATAAAGTCTTAACATATATTGTATCCCCAGCATCGAAATTTCACGAATCAAACTCTGCTGTCTGCAAGGCTCTGGTAGAAAATATGTTTGAGACAGTAATTGATAACTCTTCCGGGACATCTAACAGAGCTAATTCCCGAATTGGATGCTTTCATATTCTTCAAGTTTTCGCGACATCAAAACCGAAACTTTTTACCACTGAACACATTCAGATACTTCATCCCTATGTGGCTAACCTTTCAAGTACCGATAATGCTGCAATATATAATAGTGTAGTAAGGATTTTCAAGCAGACTTTATCACACCTTCGTGATATACAGGGAGATCTTTTGGTAGCGATTAGGAATGATCTATTAAAAAGTCTAGCAAAATTACGTGTTACGCAGCTTGATGATGTAATAGCTTGTGTGTCGATTATTAGCAGAGCCCTTCAAAATTTTGACAACCTAACAAGAGTGCTTATTTCTGCGCTTGAAACAATAAATAAACTCAAGCTTGGCGAAATAAAAGACGATTCTATCAAAAAGTTGTCCAAGCTTCTCCCAATTGTTGGTCTTTTAGGCAAACATTGTGACTTTGATTCTCGCCGGTCTAAATTGGCGGAAAAATTCCCGCGCCTTCAGCATGATTCAGTTCCAAAACTCATCACAGACACCATTTCCCCTCTTGCCTCTCCATCATATTCTTTAAATCTCAGAAAGGCTGCATTACAAGCTATTGGATATGTCTGTTTCACGTGGCCCAATAACTTCTCATACGCTAATGTGTTTACATCCTTTGAGCAAGTTTTTGACGAAAAGCAGGCAGATCTTGAAATAGTAGTTATGGAAGCTTTCAAGTTATTTCTACTTGCAGAAGAAAGAAGATCTGGCAGTGAAGATTTTGATACTGCTAAAACAGCGCCTGATCCGAAGGCAAAGCTCGGTGTCATGGGTGGAAGTCAAAGCGACGGAATAGCCCTCGGAATTGCACAACGGTTTCTACTAAAAATAATTACTGTCGCACTACGCTCTAAGGATGATAAAGAGACATTTCTTGCAGCAGAAATCATAGCTAGTGTTGCTCGGCAAGGTCTTGTACATCCTAAACAGACTGGTGTCGCACTTATCGCCCTGGGAACTTCGTCTTGTCTTAACATTGCTAAGCTTGCATCCGAAGAGCATACAGTTCTTCATGCAAAACATGAGACACTATTTGAGAGAGATTACATGACAGCTGTGCAAACTTCATTTGATTATCAGCGAGATGTTGTTAATGACACTCGAGGTGCTTGGCTAGAAACAGGTTTTGAGACCTCTGGAATAGTCTATTGTTCAAAGCTATCAAGAATGTTTCAGGTACTCAACGATTTAAGTAAGCCAAAGACACGAAAAAAATTCCTAGAAAATTTGTGTTCGCAACTTGATCGAAATAAACCAAGAAAAGATATAACAGAAAAACAATTATCTATCCGTGAAGAAACTGACCATATCAAATTTTCACAATTTGTTATTGAGAACATCGCATTTTTCGAGTATAAATCTATAGACGAATTGATTTTTACTATCCATACTATAGAGCAGTTTGTTTCTACCGTAGGTTCGGATGTTGCACATAATATTGAGCAGGAGATACTTCAAAACAGCTCCGAGCAGGGTTTGCATGAAAGTAATGCAACCTCAAAAATCGAGTATGAGATTAAAAATACCGATCTCCTACGTTTGAAGCATCTCACAACTATTTCAATGACATTAGCTCTTTTGTGGGAAACAAGATCTTATCTAAGAAATCAGTACAATATAGTTCCAAACAGACGCGAGGGTAAAATTAAAAATATCAAGGACTTATTGGCAAAACCAAGCAAGGCTTCAGGAGTAAACGGTGATAATTTTTGGCAAGAATCAACGCATATTATGAGAGCACTAGAATCAGAGAAAGCCATGAAAGCACAGTGCCAAAAGTTTGTAGAACTCTTACACTTTGATCGTGACCTCAAAGTGGCAGCCGAAGGCGATGATGATTTAGACACAAGAAATACACCTGATTCTGATGATAATAGCATTCCAGGCACTCCATCTATGACTGAAAGCACCCGTGTCAGAAAGAGAAAGATTTCCAACCTTCCAGTCACCCCTAGTCGGAAGAAGCGTTATAGATCTAAATGTTCTGGTAAAAGAGTAAATACCAGTGTTGAGAGAAGCGACAACGAATATGGCTATCATTAATTTTTATAATTAACAATTGGTGGCGCAATGGAGTAATGGCGCTCATAAAGCACTTTGGGATCTGAGCTATTGGTTTCTGAGGGTAATAGAATCGAAGAAAGTAAGGGATTACTCCATATTTTTGCTCTAAAAGGTCTCGGGTTTTGGCGCAGGTTTGAAGTGAAAATTATACAGTAGTATTCTAATTGGGCTCAAATATTAGCCAAGCTTTGCAATATACATCCTCACCACACAATTAAAAGGCAACCTGAATTTTATTTCTTCGGTCTGATTTGACGTCCTATGTGCCTGTGCAAGATTATGAACTGAAAGATTTATACAGGATTTTACTACGGTAACCCCCCCTTCTAGCTTGCTGAAACCAAACTGGATTTTTAAAAAGACAACAATGTTAAGAAAATGGGTTGTATGGTGCAGTGGTACGTCATTCTGACCGTTCTCCCAAGTAGATACTCGGTAGCTTGAACACCTACCCTATTTGAGACAGGAGAAAGCTGGATCGAATCCAGTAAGTTCCACACACCACTCTCTCTCGCGGTGATATCGTACTTGTGGGATGATGAAAGCACACTCGAATAGCCATAGGGTTTTCACGCTTTTACCTGTGGTGGGTATGCACGGAAAAGGTTATACGCCGTAAGGGTTAACCTAGAGAGGTATCTGCAAATGAAATCTGAGTGTGAGTGTTCTAAATGTCAAATTGAGTCATCCTACTTCAAGTACATATCTTCCGATAAAAACCTGCATGGGCCTCAATGCGTCAAATCAGGATAATAAATTAATTATTTATGTCAAGGAAATAATGACTTATCAGCCATTGAGGTTGTAAAACTTATTCAATCCAGTGATAACCGAGGTAAAACTCAGTAGATACTTTGTAGTCACGTGTGTATCAACAACGTTGGCTTTTATTGGGATATCGAGGAAGTGTAGTCACAAGGGTAAGATAATACGGAGGGCAGTACGTAGTATATAGAGAATTTATAATTTTATTCAGTAATTACAGAGTGATGATGTAGTGTTGGCCGATAAAGACGAAATCTTAATCTTCCAGTGGTGCAGGTGTAATAGCTCAGTATGCTCTGCAAATCTGGGTCAGCCAAGAAGAATCGAAGCCGAAAGCAAGCATATGCATATCTCCATTTGAAAACTTCTTAACCATGCAGCACTTACCATTATCCTCCGAGTCCTCAACCTCTTTCTAACCACGCATCATCTCGCCTCACGACCAATAAAGAAGTTGCTCCAATTACAGACAGGAGCTTGCCCCATTAATTATAAGCTATCGCTCACTATAAATTTACGACGTTACGTATACCCGCAAGGAGGAAATTAAGTCATAAAATATAAAGTTGGGGTCTTGGTTTATGAGGGACTGCTGCTCTAATGGGCTTATACATCTTGAAGAAGGACAGGCGGCTGAGATGTGGTTCGAAAGGAGGAGGAGGTCTCTGAAGACTATGCTGGGACTGTCATTTTCGAGGAGTTTTCAACTTTGGAGTCTTTGTAGGCACCAAGACCAAGATTTCGGCTAAATAGCAAGGAGGGTTTCTTTTGTCGATGAGTCAACGGCACTCCCCAGCGCTCTGGACAGCTTAAAAGAAGTTGGGCTAGGCTACTATACAGCAATCACGCTCTGTCAAGACTTTTCTGACATTTCAGCACGACCTTCGGGAAGGAGTTGGAAGGAGGCTAGAAAGGCAGAGGGTGAATTTCCCGAGGTACCCACAAGTCTGCAGCGCCCAGCTGGTCGGCCTCTTCGAACGCTTCAGAAGGGGCAATATGTCTTTGGATTTAGTCCTAATGTCGGTATTAGAAGAGCCCCACACCCAGTAGTTTTTGCGATTTTTCCCGGCTGCCATACACCCGCAAATGGCCAGAGTTTTGTTGGCTGGAGAGGGGAGATAATGAAGAACAGAGGGCCCCTCTGAGTGTATGATCGAACGAGGACTTGTGAGGAGTGGTACTGTTTGAGGGAAGCTATATGGGAGGCATAGGAGGTGTATACTACTGGCATAGGTACTCATGGCCTGTAGGCAGAGAGGATCTGCATGTCCTACATAGTCATAGACTCAGATAGGACAATAAAATGAAGAAAAAAGAGTTCAAGTTCTCATTTATCACCAGTACAAAGCCTATTCTATGCTTCTCTATCCAGGTCATTTCTTACAGTTTAGTGGAGCCATTTTTGCTATCCACCGTATCCAGCCGTCGACGGAACATTAGAGAATAGTTATTTTGTTGACCCACGAAAAGAGAGAGAGAGATGCGCTTATATTGTAAGACTTGCGTTTCTAACTATCTAGCACATTGGGCTCCTCTCTGGCCCAGGCCACACCTTGTACAGTGCTCATTGCCTCTTATCTTCCTTGTAAGATCATTGATATATTGCCCGTGATGAATAGCTATTCAGCTTAGTGTTTACCCGTGCAACTCGGCCACCTTTTCCACGGAACCTTCGTCCCAAAAAAATAATAAAATGGTAGCAATGGAAACTGCGTGCGCGGGGAAAAAAGTCTCAAAAAACCTGCTGCCCCGGCTAGGCGAGGCCTAGACACCGGGACTACATGAGGTGCGGATATTCATGTATATCTCCCTCCTTTGTAACAGTCGAGGCTGACTTGATCCAATCCACCATCTCCGTATCGGGTGCTGGGTATGCTCCGGAAACTCATCGGATGGCTTCACCTCCATGACCAAGGTTGGGTGACGAGAGAGGCTTCGACCCTACCATCTGGTCTGATCGTGATTCGCACTGTAATAATGGTAATATGGAGATTGTTTTGGAGGTGAAGACGATACAAACCACGAAAACGATTCGAAATCTTTATGGAAGTGAGGACGGAAGTGTTATTCAATATCAGCTCTGCAAACATTGCAGTGAGAGCTGTAGGTTATTAGGCGATACCGCTGACAGGTGTTGAGTCCTTGGCCCCCTCGATAAATCGTTTCGGGTGTAAAACTGATGAGAAATGTAGTGTTAGGAGTAAGGAGTGTGTTGAACACTGTTGTTTAGACACATGCTCGTTGATATGTGTATATAAGAGATGATTATTTGAGTTCAATGATAATTATACTGTAGATTTCATACGTAAAAACCGCGATTAAATATCTCCGTTAACACTAACCAATGATGCGGCTAAGTGAAAACCACTTAATTTGAAGTCATATATCTTCTTCTCCTAGCTTGAATGCGTAATCTGTGTGCACCAACATGGCGAGAGGTATAAACGCGCCTTGCTGAATGGGAGCATTGAAATCCAGTCTTGTGTATGATTGGTGTCTTTACTATCAGAGTTAACTCAAGGGTCCAGCCTGCGCAATGCACCACTACACTATCCTCAGGTGAAGGCTCCAAGGAGTCCTAAGCACTAGACTGAGTAATTTACTTTTACTTGGGTTTATCTGGCGCGTGTTTCACCCCACCATGCCTTAACAAAGCGTAATTATTATTTGACAAAACAATGTCCTATAACGACACAGAGAGCCTACGGCATATCTGGCTTTCAGGAATCGAGAGTAAGGCGCTATCATATATAAATCATTAATTACTAACACGTCTCAGATGCTGTGGGAAATTGGCATAACCATCGTATTTTTTTGCTTCTGTCAGGATTTACCCTACTGATAATCCTAAAACTTCTCTTCAAATTACAACAACTTAGACTCAATTCAATAAACCCAAAAATTCTCCCAAAAAATCTTCCAAATACCAGTCCACTAAAGAAAGAAACTCATAATGAGAGGAAATCAGCCGGGGCAAAAGGGCCCCGTAGAATTATAGGAGAGATCAAAAGGCGCAAGCTTCTACAAGAGCAGGATATTAGATCTGGAAGTGTTCAAATTCTGGTATTCTACTCGTCGTTGACTGGCACAACCGAACAAACTGCAAAACTCTTCACATGTGACCTTGCGCAGACCTGCAGGAATTTAGGAGCGCCTAATTATGCTACTTTCCATGAGCCTAAATTAGTGGACCTTTCAGCTATAGACTTCGACGAATATTTTCTTAATATTCCTAAGGATGGCGCCGATTGCCAATACTTTTACCTTCTAATTCTGCCAACTTACAATATTGATACCATACTTGATGGTTTTATCGAGCATTTACGAGAAACCCATCATGATTTTAGGATCAATACATCACCTCTCTCGGGCTTGCTAGGATACTCCGTATTTGGATTTGGAGACGTCGAAGGATGGCCCACCGAAAAGGATGGCTTTTGTTCTCAGGCAAGAGACACAGATAAATGGATGGCCAAACTAACCGGTGGCAAAAGAGCCTTCCCGCTTGGGATGGGAGACATTAAGAAAGATGGTTATGCTCGATTAGATGATTGGAAAAAAGGTGTAGAAGATGTCCTATCGTACATGGTAAAGACAGGTAATCTAGGAGAGGGAGTCCTTGGAAGCGGTGATGCTGTAGAAAGTGATGAAGATACGGACGAAGATCAGATTCTTGACCAACGAAATCCTACTCAAAACAGATTACTTGTTCAACCAAGTAGTACATTAAATGATCTCGAGGATATTAATGTCAAACCAGCGTCAGACAAAACAAGCCTGTCACTACAAGAGATAGATTTTACCACTAAAGGCAATAAACCGAATTCGATGATAAAAGAGATGGTTCCTAAAAATTCCCCTACATATGCCGCCCTTACGAAACAAGGCTATTCTATCATCGGTTCCCACTCTGGGGTTAAGATATGCCGATGGACCAAATCTGCTCTACGTGGTCGGGGCTCCTGCTACAAATACTCATTTTATGGCATCGCCTCACATCAATGCATGGAGACAACTCCATCACTCTCCTGTTCAAATAAGTGTGTATTCTGTTGGCGCCATGGTACAAACCCAGTTGGTACAACCTGGCGCTGGACTGTCGATCCTCCTGAACTAATTTTCGATGGTGCTAAGGCGGGACACTACCAGAAGATCAAAATGATGCGAGGTGTACCCGGAGTCAGGGCTGAGCGATTCACTGAAGCACTGAGTATTCGGCATTGTGCCTTATCGCTGGTCGGTGAGCCCATATTCTATCCTCATATCAATAAGTTTCTAGCCTTGCTTCACGCCGAGCGTATCTCGTCCTTTCTAGTCTGCAATGCCCAACACCCTGACCAGCTAGCTGCTCTAGGTACCGTTACTCAACTCTATGTCTCGATTGATGCTAGTAATCGTGAGAGCCTTCGAAAAATTGACCGACCACTTCATCGCGACTTTTGGGAACGATTCAATCGATGCCTTGACATCCTTCGCGAACGAAGATTCGAGCAGAGAACTGTATTTCGCTTAACCTTGGTAAAAGGGTTTAACATTGAAGATGAAGTCATGGGCTACGCTGATTTAGTGGAGAAGAGTCTCCCGTGTTTCATAGAGGTGAAAGGTGTTACCTACTGCGGAACATCGGCCTCAGTTGGCGCAGCGCTCACCATGCAAAATGTGCCGTTCTACGAAGAAGTGTGCACTTTTGTCAAGGCACTAGACCTTGAGTTGCGGAACAGGAAACTTGGCTACGGGATTGCAGCAGAGCACGCACATAGTTGCTGCATATTGATTGCTAGTGAAAGGTTCAAGGTTGGGGGGAAATGGCACACCAGAATTGACTATGAGAAATTCTTCCAATGTCTCAATAGAAGACAACCATTCAGACCGGAAGACTACATGGGCCCGGAAACCCCTGATTGGGCTACGTGGGGTAGAGGCGGGTTCGACCCTCGCGATGAGAGAGTTTATCGGAAAGGAAAAAACAAGGGGTTACGGCCAGAAATCCAAGTAGCGCCAATGGAAAACTAAGTCGTCGACTGAGCTACATTTGCAGCGTGTGTTGTGACCAGAACCAAACAAACCTCGCTGATGTAGTTACGTTACTCAATTCCCCGAAATTGCCAGTAAACGCCGCTAACACCGTACGCCGACCTCGAACAATAAACCGTGGCTCCCTACCTGTTGTAAATATCTGGTGAAAGGGTTCGGAACGAGAGGAATCTCAAAGCGTCCGCGACTCTAACCTCGATCTGCCCCACTTCCCTCAGCTTCTCCCTCGGCTAATCGTTCCCGTTGTACCATGACCCGTTCGTTACAAATATCAATAAACATTTCAAACTTTTGTATCATCTTTTCTTTATTCCTAAGCTGGTCTTTCAGTTCTTCCACTTCCTTCCTCCATGCCTCTTTAGTCTTCTCTACTTCTGCCTGAGCATTAGCAACTTCTGTCCTCAACTCCGCCCTTAATTTCTCCTCAAATGTCATTGGTGGCTTCTTGTAAAATGTTGGTAGCTCTTCCATTGCGGTTGCCTCGACGCGTGATGGATCCCGTTTTATAGCTGCTCTCGCATTGTAGATGTCGCGAGGAAGGTATCGCACGGTAGGATTTTCTCGATGAAGGATTTCAAGGGTTTCCTTGACAGAGACACCTGTAAAAATGAAATTTAGTATGGACATAATACTAGAATTCAAACAAAGAATTGGACACACCGTTCTCTTCCAAGGCCTTGACCGCAGCAATGGCCTTAGGGTCTAGCTTCCTAGCCCCAGGATGTTCTGTTGGGCTTTCACTAGGAGGGTGATTGTGCATGAGATGTTCTCCGTCTATTCGGCCCCTCAGGAGCCAAGCTGTTTTGTTTTCTAGTCCAAAAACGCCAAACTCGCAGCCACACTTACGGGATTTGGTCTTCCTCTGACGTTGCTCGCCGTGTACTTTTTCTTTATTTGTACCTCCACGATCACAAATTAAAAAAACTTTTTTTAATCCTCGATTATCTCGTTTTGATCGGCCAATAACAAATGCATAGCCATGGGCAAGAGCATGCGCCTGAGCGAACGCAAAAAGTGCTTCAAAGGTTGGAAAGCTTCCTCCTGGTGGTGGTGAAAGCATCTCACCTTGGGTGATAGTTGGAACATCAGAGGTGCCTTGATTTATCATAGCGTTGTTCGGATCAAGCTGTTGGTCCAAGCCAAGTTGTGGATCAATCATGGACAGGTCTTGTGATTCTTCATCGGGTCCTTCAGACGGCCTTGATCCAATACCATTTACAGGAGAGGAATTCATGGATTGTCTCTGAACATTAAGTTGTTGGAGAGCGGGCGAGCTATTTTGTGATTGCCGTTGTTGTCTCTGAGATTGATTCAAGCCTGTCGAGGAGCTTAGAGCACGGCTGGTACTGATGGGTTGGTTTTGAGGCGTGCCATTATTAGATATATGTATTCCTGAGACTAGAGGGGGGGGGCGCCGTTGTGGAGTGTTCGAGTTTGTAGATATTGGGGGATTACTTAGGACACCCTGGGCAATCTGCTGTTCTGCGGATGTTGTGGAATTGAGGTTTGGTCGAGTTGCTGGGTTTGACGCATATGGCCCGGTATAGGTTACTTGTTGAGTATGAGGCCGGAGAACGCCCATACCAGGACGACCAAAGTTGCGCGGCTGGGAGGTCGAAGCATTATTCGGAATATTAGTATGAACTCGAAATACATGTTGAGATGGTCCTGCTATAAAAGTATTCCTCGCGCTGTCCTGCGGGGTCATGGACATTGTTGATGGGCTGGCGAGAAGTGACGGCGGATGCGCGTGTCTATATCAAGAGGGCAATGCTGGCCGTCAGAGGGGGGTGATAATAAAAATTGATGGGCGCTTGGACCATTTGCGCTGACAACATTTGGGCAGGCATCCCAAACTGGTCACGGGACCTAGTTCAGACGAACCGGTACAGTCACGGTATTATGTGAATATCACTCACAAAGTGCCCATGAACAATCCGACGAAACACACATCGTTAAATAGTAATAATAATAACCCGACGAAATGCAACTGATACGAAGAGGGTGGGTTAGGGCTACACTTTGAATCAAGATAGAGCATTAACTGCGAAAAAAGGGAGGATATAGTAGTCTTTAGATGGTAGAATTGCCCGATAGCAATAGGCTATGCGGACACGCATGACGCCCATTCTTGGGCACAGAGTCCGGGTCATACCCACGAACGTAATTGGCGTTAAATGCAAACAACATCAACCCGACGAAATGCATCTTTAATGATGAAATGAGATACAAATCTATGCTTAAAAGAAACATAGAAAGTTAGCATGATGATAGATACCCCGCGCCCAACATAAAAAACTCAATGTAAAATTTTGCAGCGATACAATGAAGTCAGTTAAACTCTTGTAGTATGGTATTTTCGTGCCAATATCAAAATATTTGATTATCATGCTAATACATCTTCAGAATTTCTAGTAATTTAATGTGGCCCTCTCCCAATACATCGCTAAGAGTTTCCTGTTGGAGAAGCGAAAAAATATCATGGTAATACCGGCAAGGCGGGAAGAAAACGAGCACGAGAACATAGCATGGGCCAGGGTCTGAGCCGGACGACATGGAGAGACGATAAGTGGCAGTGAGCTGTGTATTAGGAAGAAACGGCAAGTAGATGTGAGATTTGTATTCAGAGACTACTGGGCGGCTGGGCCTCACTCATCCATTTAATGGTGATTTTTGTCGAGCTTCCGATATTTCATCCGAGCAGCACAAAAATTGCAGGATAATCACGATGCAGGCCCGCTTACATCATGCCTCATTTAGATACAACACTTAATACCTCAAAAAACAACGTCTATTTATCAACCTAGCTCGAAATCATGTATAAGACCACAACTTCGGAGAGCAAGACTGAACACCTGTACGTGGTGTCCTCTACGAACCTGGGAGTGAAATATTCTCCCAGAGCATAGCTCAGTCAAATTTCGCAATATCAAAGAAGTTGGCCCGCGAAGCAATAATTCAAGATACTCCACTATGTCAATCTTTCACTCCAAACGAGATCGACTCCGACCTAAGTCCTATCAAGTCTACAAGTACGACCTAGTACATCCTCATTCCAATGATACACCTCTCGTCGACTTTCTCTTGCATCAGCTGGTCACCAAATACACGCCCACGCCGATATTTATACCCGCAGGAAGCAAAGCGTGGCGCACAAATCTTAGAAGCAGTTCTCTGGGATGGACGTGAGAGGGGTTAGGACAAGCTAACAAGATGTTGCATAGGGAGGATATAACTTGGAAGGGCGTGAAATTCCGAATTTTGGCAAGGAGTTTTACGAATTGGGCTTTGTGCGCGCCAAGACATCGCTTGCAAGAGTGCAGCTGACACTATAAAAACAAGTAAACGATGTAAGGTGTTGTGGTCCGCCTCCTGGTGGTGTTCTCTGGTATGGTTTGAGTAGCCCGGGCACCTACTCTACTTGGGAAGGAGACGCTTAAGATGATATTTTTCGCGGAGAAAAGTCAGTGAATAATGGAGGCATGTCTGGATAACTGAGGGATTTTGAGGCTTTTCCCCGAATGGGTATTTATGGATGAAGGTTGACTTGGGGTGAAGAAAAAGCCGTCATAACTTCGCAGTGGTACTTGCAAATGAAATCCGAGGCATGTTTGTCGTTTGTTTGTTCATTAACGTGCTAGGTGAAGTAACTACCGTCGCACTCCTACTGGAGCTTGAGCACGAGTGGGGTCGGGCCGGATCAGGTTAACTACCGTAAAGTACAAGTGCCTCGTCCCACCTCAATGACCGGAACCATGCCGAAACGCATCTATGTGTTGAAGCATGACGAGTACAGCAGCCCAGAGTTGAAAATAAAACAAAAGAAAACTTCCACGCAAAGTCCTGCATTACAAAAGAAAAACTTTGACAATCTCCCTTCCATCGTTCCGCCTCGGCCACCACGCGCCCGAGCCTCGATTCCTACCCCTACTTCCATGCCAGATCACCTAGGCTCTCGTTCATCACCTCCGAGTCACAGGTATCCCTGCCATCCCCCGGCTAGCCTCCGCGTATATTCCGCTCTCCTGGACATAGTCCCTGAACAGTTGCCACCCAAATCCGAGGCATGAGTGCTCTTCTTGTAAATTGCGTCATCTTTTCTGTGCTTTTCTTTGATATTGTGTCATAGCTAGATAGCTGCATATGCAATTAAAATCTGATGCAAAAAAAAGATAGGCGTGATGTGTCCCGGCTAAAAATGTTAGATAAAATCAGGTAACTCGTTCATAAGTGACAACCATTAAAGGAGGCCTATCTGAAGTCTCAGACTCCAGACCTCAGCATTTATATTCAATTTAAAATCAATCAAAGGGCCACTTATGTGGTGATTCACGGACTTCAGATAAAATTACAAACTAAGCTTACATTTGTAGAATTAAATAGCCCAGGGAATTTTGCACAGCGTGTTACGGCAAGAGGAGTTTTTGCTGATCATTCAATTCAAAGTTCCAGAAATAAATACAAACCAAGCTCATTATGAGGACTTGGAACCCATTTGTCTATTCAAACTCTAGTCTCGAATTTTCTAACCAATCATGAGAAAATTTAGCATTAGATACTTGGTAATCCTTTAGCCTTTGATTCGATGTACTATCATCGCGCTTAACTGTCATGGTTAATGAATTGATGCATGAGAAATCAGATGTAGGAAGATAGTCTATAATTTTATATGTTGCCTACTATTAAAACATTACTTCATCTATTTATACATTTATGAAAATATCTAGAATATTCATTCTTGGCTAATATCCGCTTCTGGCACATTCCACTCATAGTAGTTCCCAGTCTTACTGGGCGACTATTCTCAACACCTGTCGGTGGTATCCCCTACGAGCCTCCAGCTCTCACTTTAGAGTCTGCAGAGCCGAGATTGAGAAACAAAGTCCTCACTTCGATGAGAATTCTGTTGTAATTAAGGGAGTAACATGACTGCATAATGTTGAAAGAGATAGAGGATCACTTAAAGCAGAGCGGACAAGAGTGAATTGATTATTTTTTTACATAAAAAGATATCAATCAAGACCATAAAAATCGACGTCATAATATAATTAAGTAAAAATCAGTAAGGAGTAGTAAGCCATTATTTATGCTGTGTTCTCTTGTCATAGAAGTAGAGCCACACTAGTACCTGTTCATACAAATCTTACAGGGGAGATGGGACTAGAGTGTAAATAGTGGATGTAGGGATTGCGTTGGGAAACCTTACGTAATGAAGGTAATCATTACTAATAGGATTATACTTCATTTTCGAACACATTACAACAAACTGTTCACATTAGAATAATGTACACATGCACCATGGGATATGATTGACCTAGATTGTCACTCTTTGTTTTCTTTTTTGCATCAGATTTAAATTGCGTATGCAGCTATCTAGCTATGACAAAATATCAAAGAAAAGTACAGAATAGATGATTCAACGTAAGGGAAGAGCCGGCAAAGACGAATTCTTCACCTTCCAGTGGTGCCGGCGTAATCGCTCAGTATGCTCTGCATATCTGGGATAGCCAAGAAGAATCGCATCCGAATCGAAGTCGAAAGCAAACACATGTATATCTCCATTTGACCACTTCTCAACCATGCAGCACTCATCATTATCTTCTGAGTCCTCAACCCTGATCTAAACACATATCACCTCGCCTCGCCGACCGATAAAGGCGTCGCCCCAATTGCAAACAGGAGCTTGCCCCATTAATTTCCAGCCATCTCCCACAACAAATTTACGACGCTATTTATACCCGCAAGGAGGAAATCAAGTCGAAAAATATAAAGTTGGGGTCTTGGTTTATGAGGGACTGCTGCTCTAATGGGCTTATACATCTTGAAGAAGGACAGGCGGCTGAGATGTGGTTCGAAAGGAGGAGGAGGTCTCTGAAGACTATGCTGGGACTGTCATTTTCGAGGAGTTTTCAACTTTGGAGTCTTTGTAGGCACCAAGACCAAGATTTCGGCTAAATAGCAAGGAGGGTTTCTTTTGTCGATGAGTCAACGGCACTCCCCAGCGCCCTGGGCGGTACAAAAGAAGTTAGGCTAAGCTACCATACAGCAATCACGCTCTGTCAAGACTTTTCTGACATTTCAGCACGACCTTCGGGAAGGAGTTGGAAGGAGGCTAGAAAGGCAGAGGGTGAATTTCCCGAGGTACCCACAAGTCTGCAGCGCCCAGCGGGCCGGTCTCTTCGAACGCTTCAGAAGGGGCAATATGTCTTTGGATTTAGTCCTAATGTCGGTATTAGAAGAGCCCCACACCCAGTAGTTTTTGCGATTTTTCCCGGCTGCCATACACCCGCAAATGGCCATAGTTTTGTTGGCTGGAGAGGGGAGATAATGAAGAACAGAGTGTCACGGGACTAAGTCCTAGGAATGGCTTAGCGAACTTGGGACTTAGAGACTTCCATGTACATAGATAGATTTACTCTCCTTATTGCACAACACAGTTATTGATCCCGACCCATCCAGATCCTGATACTCCCTTTATACATTCCGTGACATTTTGTGCGATCTTTAACATACGTGCCTTACCGCGCCCTGCCTCTCTGCTTCTTTGCTTCCCTGATCCAGTTACCTGTAACCAGAAAAAAATTGTATCCTGTAAGACGACCCTTCTCGAACGCGACAAGGCAATCCTATATTCTTAAAATCAATTTATCCAGTTTTTGTAAAAATGGCCAGCAACCAGGACGCGTCTACTCTGAACCAACTTTTAGATTCCTT